AGCAATCCAAACAACATGCGCGACTCTATTAAAGCGAGACCGACGAAAAAAGAAAGAATGGATGTCTGATAAGATAATGGATATGATGGATGAAAGACGTAAATTCAAGAATAAAAATGCAGAAAAATACCAGCAGATCCACAAAACCATAAGAACGAAAATTCGAGAAGCCAAAGAAAAATGGTTTTCCAACGAATGCAGGGAAATAGAACAATACGAACGAAAATACGACAGTTACAATATGCACAAAAAAAATAAAATCGATGACAAACAAGAGGAAATTCAATAAGTCACCCAACAGCATAAAAGATAGCGATGGAAATCTTATCTCGGAGCCATCAACGATCTTAAAAACATGGAAATCATACATAGAAAAATTATTTGCATCTAACAGGACTGATGATCACCTATATGGAGAAGGAGAAACAGGACCTTCAATTCTTAAATCGGAGATAGAAGATGCCATTGCAGCACTAAAAAACAATAAGTCAGCAGGTCCGGACAATGTACCCTGCGAAATATTAAAGATCCTATGTAAATCAGACAAACAGTTCCTTGACAATCTAGTTGTACTTTTTAACAACATATATAATAGCGGTAAAATCCCGGAGAACTGGCTACAGTCAACATTTATTACAATCCCGAAGAAACCAAATGCCCAGATTTGTGATGACTACCGGCTCATAAGCTTGATCAATCATGTCACTAAAGCGTTCACTAAGATCATTCACAGAAGAATATATGATAAATGTGAGTCAAATATTGATAGATCGCAGTTTGGTTTTCGGAAAGCACTTGGAACTAGAGAAGCAATTTTCGCTCTCCAGGTGCTTATACAACGGTGTAGAGACGTTGATAAAGACGTGTATCTGTGCTTTGTAGATTTTAGAAAAGCATTTGACAATGTCAATCATGAACAATTGATAGGTATTCTGCGAAAGACAGGTATTGACGACAAGGACATTCGAATTGTGGCAAACCTATACTGGGGTCAAACAGCAAGAGCAAAAATTGGCAACGAACTCACTGAAAGCGTGCAGATCAAAAGGGGTGTCCGTCAGGGGTGTATATTATCCCCACTCCTATTCAATATGTATTCCGAGGAAATATTTAACAAATGTATGGAAAATGCAAATGAGGGCATTAAAATAAACGGCGAGTTAACGAACAATATAAGATACGCCGACGACACGGTGATCCTTGCCAGTACCATAGACGAATTACAACAAGTAATGGAAAGACTTTATTCAGTTAGTGAGGAATACGGCCTGAGCCTCAACTTCAAGAAGACAAAGTGGATGCTGATAAGCAAAAAGCAACAACCTGCTCGACAATTACGGATAAGTAACATATTAATTGACCACGTAGAATCTTATGTGTACCTTGGCACCAACGTAAATGCAAAATGGGAACAGACCATAGAAATTAAGGCGAGAATAGAACGAGCTAGAGCAGCATTTAGCAATATGAAAAAGCTCCTCATAAGCAAGGATTTGTCTCTTCCCCTAAAACTACGTATAGTTAAATGCTACATTTTTCCGATCTTGCTGTATGGCGTGGAGGCCTGGACGCTGACGGAGACGCTAACGAGAAAACTAGAAGCATTCGAAATGTGGGTGTACCGACGCATTCTTCGTATATCCTGGACCGAACATGTCACCAACATAGAGGTACTCCAAAGAATCGGAAAGGAGAAAGAAATCGTGAATACAATTAAACAAAGAAAGCTTGAATATCTAGGCCACATATTGAGACACGATAAGTACCGTCTGCTACAATTGATTGTCCAGGGAAAAATAGACAGTAAGCGAGGGCCAGGCAGGAGAAGACACTCGTGGCTCCAAAATCTGCGGAAGTGGTTCGGGCTCACATCGGTCGAACTATTCAGAAGCGCCGCAAACAAGATCAAAATTGCCATGTTAATAGCCAACGTTCGCAACGGACAGGGCACTTGAAGAAGAAGATACCGCTGACCGTTGAGGGTGATGTCCTAGCCAATATCGTTTTTAAATAAATATGGACCAATGACGTCGCCAACAAAAAATCCACACCAGTCACTTCTTCGGGATGCATTGGCTCTTGGAGAACAGAACATTATTTTGATAAATCAATTTTATCATTTGCAAGTGTTGTCGTGAGCTAGGTCCATTTACGGTTATTTGATAAGACGGACTTAAATGAATGATAGGTAATTTCACAGATGTAGCTTGAACAATATGGCCGCTACTAACTATCAAAATTCGAAAATGCCCATTGAAAGACCCTATATTATTTTTCGCTTCATAATTTTTCACCGAAACATGTAGCAATGCGGAAGAATTCCAGCTTTGATCATTTAGTTAACAATTCTGGTCTTCCTTTTCAACAAATGGTTTCGCGTCATTTATTTTTTACCTCGTTAAAAAGGTGTCTACTTTTTTTTCTTATTTATTACCAGGTTTATTTTTGATTACATGTTTTGTCTATAAATATAAAATCGTAACGTAAATATGGAATCCCGAATAAAAAAACGTTTCTATTTTTATTGATCTATTTTTGTTTCTCCTCTGAATGATTTAGTGACTTGAATATCTTGTCTTAGGTTTCCGGTATATTTATTATCGTGTTTAACAGGTTCAAAAAACGTGAGTTATTTGGATATAATTAGAAAAATAATGATTCAATAGAGATATGTGTTTCAGGAGAAGAAAAAAATGGTGAGATGAATATCATAGTTATAGAAAATTAATGAGGGGTAAAAACAATATAATAGATATAAACAAATAAAATATAATAATAATAGAAGGTAAACAAATATAATAGAAGACAAAACAATAAAATATTTTATTTATGGACTTTATCTGGTATGCGATTTCGAATAGAAAGAAATAATATTTATCTTTTTGCTTTTGTATTAGAATATAGTTATAAAACAAGATGATAAAGATAAAACAGTACACCTCAGAACCCAGACATGCTATCAAAATCAAAATGGGAGACTTCAATACCAAATTGGGTAAAGAAAAGCATCTAAAAGCAGTTGTCATGCATAGCTTATATCAGTGTGGTCCAACCTTTAAGGTTTATGTTCATCTATCTATATCGTCTGTTCCCATGCGTAATAATGAATAACACAGTTTTTCTTTGAAATCTGTTATGGACAATTTTTCTTGTGTAACTTTCTTGTAAACCAAAAAAGCGTTTACAACTGCAGACCTCAATAATAATTCGATGGCAAGCTTTCTGTACCATTTTGTTCTTTTGAGTAGACAGTGAGAATATGCTTTTATTTGGTCAGACAGGTCAATGTAAGATTTAGCTCCGTTATGACTGATTATTGCTTTGCGTTTTTTTACTGCACCACCTCTTTGAAATACTTCTTTTGTATTATTTTTCTGAAGGGTGCTGAGCATAAGCACTTCTCTCTTGTCACGCCATTTTATGACCATAATTCCGGAATCACTTTCTCTGGCATATATTTCTTTTGGTTTTAATTTTTTTTTGGACTACCTCTTTATAATTATAATATCTTCATATATTTGAGCTGTAACTCTTGTAGCTTTTCCATCAAAGTGAAAATTCTTAAAAGATGATCCGTCAATAGGGTTCCACTGTAAGTTATTCAAGTCAATTAGGTCATCTTGATAATTCCTTCTATTTTCAGGGACACTTTCTTTCTTTCAGCTCTGTACTGGGAAATTACGTATTCAATAACATTTTTGTAAACTTGAGTGGATATTATCTGACTCTGTTTGTGAGCTAATCGGCAAATCTCCAACATCAGTAGAGGCAGATAAGCTATTTGATTTGCTTGAAGATGCTCCGGAATCCATTGTAACATTTACTTCTTGACATAATTTACGTTTTTTTTTGGGCAAAAACTGCACTAACATCGCTATTGTCATCTTCAGAGTCACTCGAAGCTTGCGAAAAAAGAGAGTAAGCATCAGACGAATAAACATCACCTATCATTACAGAATCACTTTCCTCATCCGAGATTAGTTCATCCCACAACTTTAAAATGCGTGTCTGCCATTTTTCGTAATCTCCCATTGTGTGTACACCGTGTTTACATTCACGTTACTACACTGCTATTCTCAAAAACTCTGTTCATATTAGGAGGTAACAATTGGATTGCACGAGTCGCTTGATTCTCGAGACGGTTACTTTGTCCTTGAATACCAGGTAGTGCCATGGTACAACGTATGTACCACATGGCCCCGTAGAAGCAATATAAATTCCTTGGGCCGCGTACCATAGACCTTAGGCCACAAAAAAATCTCTCAAAATTCACAAAAAAAGAAAGATACCCAAAAATATTAATCAAATAATGAATGTGTTGCTTGTGTGAGTCCATTTCAAATAGGTAAAGAAATAATAAATAAGACTTACTCACAATCAATTTAATTTAACTATCTGACGACCGGTTTCGCTTTCTACAATATGCAAAGCATCCTCAGGTCTCGATACAAAGTTAAACAAATGATGCCGGTACTCTATTAATTGAGTATTATTACTCTGTAGTAGAAATATACTCTATTGTAGAAAGCGAAACCGGTCGTCAGATAGTTAAATTAAATTGATTGTGAGTAAGTCTTATTTATTATTTCTTTACCTATTAATCAAATAGATTATAAAATACCTTAGCAAACATAGACTATTACAAAAAAAATTGGTTCCAGGGACCAACAATTTTCATTGTATGGTGGCGCTTAAGGTGTTAAAAATATACGTAATGTACTATAGAATTGATTTCTGTGCACGTGTTTGAAAGAGAGTAATATACTGCAAAATAACGTAGTACAAACACACATCGCACAATATTAATAACCAAAAACAAGCAATCCAGTTCCCGATTATGTAATATATGAGTACAATATAGGGGGAATACATACATTCATACCTATATGAAATGTTTGACTAGTTTTTTTGCGGCTTTTATTAAAAACAGGTTTTTCAGAAGGATACTCCTATAAAAGTGTTTATTATTATTGTTTGTTTTATGCCGTTTAAATTTTTAGGGTATTTTTGAAATAATGGAGGAGTTTTCCGAGATCGAAACTTGTATTGAGTGTTCAGCTAAAACCTTAAAAAATATTTCCGAAATGTTTTATTATGCACAGAAGGCTGTCCTTCATCCCACTTCACCAATTTACTCTGTGGACAAGGCTGATGTAAGTGATATACACAGTATTATTTTAAATAAAAATAAAAGTAAGTTTTATATCGATTTTGTTTTTCAAAATGCTCTTTACCACCAATTATACAACGAATTGAAGGTGTTGAATTGTATGTTCACATATGTATTGTATGTCAAATGGTTTCAATTTTATTTTTGTAATGAAATAATATGTTTTTTTATTTTAGTTATCAGAAGGGTGCAAAAACGCATTGATCCGGATCTTCAAAATATGTGATATAGACTGCGACGGACTCCTGAACGACATAGAACTGAACAACTTCCAAAGTCGTTGCTTTAACGCGCCTTTACAACCTCAAGTACTCGATGACGTCAAAGCCGTATTGAGAAAGAACTTAGAGGACGGAGTATGTCACAATTGTGTCACTCTAAACGGTTTCTTATATCTACACAACTTATTTATACAAAGAGGCAGAAATGAGACCACCTGGACTGTGCTAAGGAAATTCGGTTATAATGACAATTTGAATATGTCCAAAGAGTATTTGTATCCAAGGTAAGATCAAATTTACGAATTGTGGCTATTAAATAACGAAACTGACACTATAAAATATTTTATTTTGATTCCATATAATGGACTCCCTTATTGACATTTTCAATATATCTCTGTCTCCTGTGAATAAGCACATAAGTCAACTTGAGTAAACTTTTCAGGAACGTCGAAACAAGGTTTAAGGGATCTTACGAAATCGCAGAATAACGTTGAAACATTTTTGTTGAAAGTACCTTTTTGACGATAAGATTATACAAATATTTTGATTCCAAAATATTTGTATAAAATAAAATAAATTAAATAAAACATTTAATGTACAGTTGCGGTCACGGAATAGTTTACAGGTTCACGTATCTAGGAGCCCATTTTTTAAATTTTTACTTCGTTTAAACGCACCTTTTACGTCAAAGTGACGTTGCCAGTGGTGTACTAGCTAGAATAGGTAGATTAAAATTAAAATATCAAAATATTTTACAAAATGAAAAATATAGAAAACAGTTTTTTGAATAAAATGGATTATGATCTTAATAACGAAAATAAAGAAGTCTTTTTTTTTAATATGCATTTTATTTTAAATCTATTTTATATTAAATAACGATAAACAATGATAAATAATAATTAATATTTGGTGGAAGCCCCATTCTTGTCAATACAATTTTGCAGTCTTCTGTTCATAGATAGCACCAATCCCCTCATGTTATAGTTAACAAGCTCTTCCCATGCCTGCTCAATTGCTTCCCATAATTCAATTCTATTCCGTGGTCTAAGGTTTCTTTCATTTAGTTTCTTTGTTAACTCTGCCCACACATTTTCGACGGGGTTAAAGTCTGCACTACGGGAAGGCCACGGAAGAACATTAACATCAGTTTCTTCTAGCCATTCTCGAACAATTCTACTCGTATGCACCGGGCAATTGTCATGTTGGAAGATAAAGTCGTTGTTGGGGAATCTCTGGATCACCGATGGCAACATTGTGTGCTCAATAATATGTTTGTAATATAATCCTGTTAACTTCTCCTCTACATGATAACAAACGCCCGGGCCTTCGGCACTTATCCATCCCCATACGTTGACAGAGAATCCTCCACTATTTCTTAAATGATGCGTATACTGTTCATCATACCTATGATTTCTCGGCCTATAAACTCTTATTCGACCATTATTATACGACTGAAATACTTTTTCATCGGAAAATACAACCTAGACCAAAAATTCTCATCGCGGTTTATAAATTCATTACAAAATTCAACTCGTCTCCTCTTGTGATCCTCAGTCAAAAAAGGTTTCCGTGCAGCTACACAATTTAGCAGTCCACTTGCTTTAATTCTTCGACGTGCAGTGCGAATACTGCCTGGAAACGCTGCCTCTTCTCTTGCCTTTTGAGCTGTGGCAAAAGGAGATTCTCTCAAATAATCTACTAACATCTCATCCTGTTGATCTGTGGAAATCTTCTGCCCTCCTGAACCGCCCAACCGTGCTATAGAGTGAAAATTATCCCATCTTTGTTTAATCTTCCATATGCACATATGACTCACGTTCAAATCAGCAGCAACTTGCCTTAGTGACCAACCTTCTTCGAGTTTGGCAATTGCTCTTGCTTTTTGCGCATAATTCAAATGTATTCTAACCATTTTGGAAGAGTTTAATATACTTTTATTTTATTGTTGAACACTCGCGAAAGCATTGACGTTTTGAAATTTTTTGACTTTGACATTTATCAAATCCGTACGACACTGCAATTTTACAGTATTACAATATAAAAAGTAAGGTGTAAACTATTCCGTGACCGCAACTGTACAAACATGTTTCATTTTAAATACGAATTAGTCAATCCTTAAAAAATACAAAGATATGCCGCTGACCATTTCCTTTGGTGGCAGTTTGGCTTCACTTTTAGCGATAAGGTTACGTGTCCTCTCTCTTTCCTTGTCTAAGTGAAAAATAGTGCGATGCGCTTGGCCAAGCACAAGAGATGGAGACCCAGAAACTGACGAAGTAGAAGAACCACATGACGCTTGTGTCAACGAGTACAGTCTGTGGAAAATCATTACACTTTGAACTTATTGGACGTGTAACTAACTGTGGATTACAAATAGTTATTGAAACGAAATAAAATTTATTCTAATAAATTTTATTCGACGATTAACTAATCAGTGATTTATTTGTTGGTGAAACCGGCCCTAAATCATCCACTACATTAATATTTTGCAAATCCTTTTGTAACAGGACATTTGTCTAGTTCTGGCTACATCCAGTTTGTATTAGACTATGCTTTTCAATCCATGATAACGTTCTGGACAATGCTGTCTTCTCTATATCTGAATAACTCGGTTGAAGTACACATTGATTTTCATCGTTAAATATCAATGTTGACTAAAAACGAACGCTGTTAGAATTATACTAATGTAACATGACGAAGTTTTCAAATGATACCGTACACATTTCAGCTTAAAAACTAATAAAATAATCATTTTCTGTCAGTGAAGTTTCATTTGTGCACTTCTCTTCTAGCAGAATCAGTCTCGTTATTTAATAGTTTTCGGTAGGAAGAGTGATTGGGTGTTTTATTTATTGTTGAATATTTTTTTTTAGTTTAAAAGTTCCTTCCGGATCTACCACAGAGCTATCTTTCAAAGGTCAACAGTTTCTCACGCACCTCTTCGAAAGGTTCGATAAAGATAGAGATAAAGCCTTATCGCCGTCGGAATACGAAGAATTGTTTTCGACGTGTCCCACTCCGGCGTGGGGCCCAGATGTCAGCTCTATGGTGCCAACTAACGAGAAGGGATGGATTACATACCAGGGGTACATGTGTCAATGGGCGTTGATGACTTTGGTAGATTTGCCCAGAACTTTTGAGTATTTAGCTTACCTGGGATACAATATTTATGAAAACGAGACACAGGTGACAGCGATTCAAGGTAATGAATAATAAAAAGTAGAATAATTGTTAAATTAAACTATTTAGTAAAATGACGTGAACGAAATTACTAACCACCTCCTATGTTATATTACTCGCAGTTCTTATTAACTTTGAGGCATTCTACAGCACTTCAATTGTTGATATTTTGGAACTATTCAAATAATCTGTTTCCACCTCTATTTTCAACAGTTTATTTGGTCATTATCACTTTCTGATTTGAATAAAATAGTTTAAAATACGTTTACGCCTTTTTCGTTAGTTTTTAGCATACATAGGAGTTCTTTGTCAGTAATATAATAAAATTCCAATTTTATCATATTGTATAATACCAGAACCGGTATTATACAGATTGAACGAATTTAAAACGGATCATACAATTTAATATTTGTCTGTTTGAACTGCATTTGAAATAGTGGACCAATATAAAACTTGGACAAAAATAAATTCATACCTGAGTATAGACATTGTATAAAATATCGTTCAACTATCTGTCTCGCAACAATGTTGTTTGCGTAACGGAAGCGATAATAGTTCAGGAAATGAAGCTCGAAAAAGTAAAAACTTCGCAATTTTTTCGTCCTGCATGGATTGAGTTGAAATTTTAACAGAAGGTAGGTGATAGCCCAAGGATCAAAATGGTCCATGGTTTTATTGGTGAAAACTACCCCTAATTGTCAAAAATTATAAAATAACATATTAAACCTGAATATGGGTAAAATTTGGTTTGAATTAGTTAAATAATGATTATTTTATACTTTTGAATAGAGTTCCATCATATTTCAACCCTTAAAAAGCAACCCTTGTTAGAGAATAATGTAAAAAAATTACTAATTCTAAAAAAAATATTTCGCCTTGGATCGATTTGGATAAAAATTTGGATTTAAGCTCAATTCACCCACTGCTTTATAGTTTATGTTATGTCGACGAACCCTGATTGTTCTTAGGGGTGAAAACTACCCCTAATTGTCAAAAATTATAAAATAACATATTAAACCTGAATATGGGTAAAATTTGATTTGAATTAATTAAATAATGATAGTTTCGTACTTTTGAATAAAGTTCCAACATATTTCAACCCTTAAAAAGTGACCTTTATTAGAGATTAATGTAAAAAAAGTAGTAATGCGAAGAAAATGATTTCGCCTTGAAACGATTTGCATAAAAATTTGGCATTAAGCTCAACTCACCCTCTGCTTTATAGTTTATGTTATGCCGATTAACCCTGATTGTTTTTAGGGGTGAAAACTACCCCTAATTTTCAAAAATTGTAAAATAACATTACAAATCTTAAGATGAGTGAAATTTGGTTTGGATTAGTTAAATAGTGATTTTTTTTATACTTTAAAATACAATTTCATACATTTTCAACCCTTAAAAATCAATTGTTATGAGTGCTATAGGTGAAAACAATTTTTTGCCAAAATTATGCAACTTTTTAACTCTTGAAAATCAACCTTTACAACATTGCAGTTTTTATAAACTAATTTAATAGATATAAATTGAAAAAAGTAGAATTAAATACAAAAAAATTTATCAACATAAAAAGGCACCATATATTCTTATACATTTACATAAATAGTTGAAAATATTTACATTTATAGGTAAAACAATTATAATATTAATTTTATTCGTCATCAATTACATCTTCATCGTGATCTATGTCATCCTCATCTTCTTCAATTATTGGTGGACTATTATTGCACCCTTCACCTGAGCACCCAGAACAAGTAGAGTTACAGTATAAACCAACTTTTCTGCATCCACATGAAACGCCGCATCCTTTTTTGCATTGGCAAAAAATAATTTTCAAAAGTTCATCGGGTGCAGGTTGTTTGTTCATCCAATCTGTTGCTCTGATATTTTCATTGCCAAGCCATAGACATATGAGCAGATGTTTTATTCTGTTGTATGGGATTTCAAAATAAGAACGCTTAAAATTTCGAATGTATAACGCCCCACTACCTAATATACCGGTTTTGTAGATTATTATGCTCCGAAATGTACTGTACTATACTAATGGAATTTTTCGGAAAAAAAATGAATTGGTTTTTTTAACGTATTTCCTTCATTTTTAACGATAGAGTGTTTCTTCAAAAACGATTTTGTAGAGGTTTTTAAGGATCTGTGAATTAAATCTTTTTGGAACCCTTGGTTTTTAAATGGGGTGCGCACCAAATGTTCATTGTACAACAAATCTAAATAAAGGAAAATTTTAGTCATTAAAAAAGCTACTATTTAGTACATTTTTATTTTTTTCATATATTCAGTATTTTCGGGGATATTTAAAAAAGAAGGGTAAAAAATATGAAATTTTAAATCGTTTCTCGCTTTATGCTGTACTTTTTTTTTTTCTAAAACTAAGCATTTTAAATGAGTCAAACTTCTTGGACGTATTAACAATACATATACAAAGATAATTGCAGAAGGGTGAAGATCTATTTTAATTATGGGGGTGGTTAGGGGGTTGTTTTTATCGATTTTTTCGTAAAAAAATGAGGTATTGACCTTATTTTCATCATAACTCACTCAATTTTTAAGCTAGAGTCATTTTTATGATAGGTCTATTTATGCTCTTTAAAAAAGTTTCTGTGAGTTTTCTTCCCAAAATGCATCATTTTCCCTATATTTGACTTTGAATCTTTCAAATTTGTCATTTGAAGAAAACCGCTGAACATTGATAGGCCGTGTTTCGGTTCCTATTATATCGCAAAAACATTTTAAAAAATGAATTGTATTTGTGTTCTTAAAAACTACAAATTTGTTCTCTACAATTTTTTTGATAAAATGCACCATTTTCGAGTTATTCGCGAAAAATCGATTAAAAACGTCGATTTTTTCGTCTAAAAGTTGATACTTTCAATCGCGAATAGCTTGAAAAATATCAGTTTAAAAAAAATGTATAGAACATTTTTTGTTTAGAATCACATTTTTAATCGAAACGTGTAGTTAAAACGTAAAAAAATTTTCACCCCCCGAGATGGGGTGCCAACCACCCTAAGGCTTTGGCGCACTTTGGTTCGATATAGATTTTGATCCTTGGCTATTACCTACCTTCTGTTAAAATTTCAAAATCCACGCAGGACGAAAAAATTGCGAGGTGAAATGCTTCATTTTCTGGACTATAAGTGCTTTGACAGCATAATAAAATCGTAGATTTATGTGTAGCTTTCAATTTTTATGGTTTCAGAATCCAGCAGCCCGCTGAAGTATTGGATTTTTATAATATAATTATTTGACAACCTTTTGTTGGTCAACCACCTACAGCAGAATTGAGCCGAAATACATAATATTTCGTATGTTCCGAATTTATTTCGTTCAATATGTATAATACCAAGAACCAGAACTAATCAGAATTCATTATTGCAACAAAAAAACTAAAAATCTACAGTACTTACAACGCTTTAGTTCAAACATAAACTGAATTCGCAAATGAACAGCCGAGAACTAATATCAACACATAATTGGAGTATCTACTGCTCCGATAAAAATGGAGTATCTATTTAAAAAAATATTTACAAAATATTTTTATGAATTGAAGTTAAATGTGATGACAAATCATGTTACATTAAATGTAACCACGCATAGTTTGACCTTGAGAGACAATTTATGTTTGTTTTACTATAAGTACTAAAAGCAATTATCTAAAGCAATTTTAATTTCAATGTTATTGTTTCAGTAACAAGAGATAAGAAGACAGATTTAGCCAAAAAACAATCCAGTAGAAATGTGTACCAGTGCCACGTAATCGGTCCGTCGGCGTCTGGGAAATCCACCTTTTGTAGGAGTTTTATCAAAAGCATCCTCGACGTAAGCCTCCAATTTCCCAAACAGCTTTTTTATTGACTTTTTTTTCTATATTTTTAGTCAAATCCCCTTCAACCCGAGAAGACTGGAGTCCCAAATTGTACAGTGAACGTTATTCAAGTATATGGACAGGAAAAAATTATGGTACTTAGAGATATTAATGTTAGGAACGTATCGGATCCGCTACTTCCCGCAGAGGTGCAATGTGACGTTGCCTGCTTAGTATACGATCAAAATAATCCAAAATCGTTCGAGTATATCGCCAGAATATACATTGTAAGTAACAAAAGATGTCGATAACGAATGGAATCACTATTATTATTAAACTATCATACATGATGACAGAGACACATGGTACCACTATAAAAAACTGAAAAAAATTATTAACTTATTGAAAATTATACACTTTTTAAAAACTAAACGGAACGACCATGTTTCGTTAATGTATCGTAATTAGTTTCGCGACCTTAGTATAATTAAAACCACTATTAACCGCGACGAATCATCCGAATAACTACTTTCAAACTTTTTATAAAATTTTTATGAAAACCATATCAAATTGGCTGTCTAATGATGTACCCACACGTGGTATATTCCCTAATTAAAATTTAGGCATTATGGAAATGAAATTATTAAAATTTACACCTTTTAAAAATAAAAAGCAACGCCTATGCTTCGCGAATATGTAAATGTTTTTACATCTATTTTATGCATGGACGTATAAACACAGATGGACTCAGTCACAGCCACCTTTACTTCCAAGCCATGAAGCAAAAAAGGCAACACCGCATTCTATGACGTCGGTATTCCGATAAACAGCTGTAAGGTCTACCAGAAAATTAAACTAATTTATTTGAATTTTAGGAAACTGATATTTTGAAAACTTTAATTCATTACAGAAATATTTTTAGGAAATTAAATTAATAAAACCTTATATATACCTAATAAATCTATATAAAGTTTTATTATTAAGGTTATATTATCAATAAAATAATCATTAGAGTAAAATTTATTGCACTTAAAATACAGTGTCAAACAGTTAATCTTACAATCAAATGCAGTCAAGAATCTCTAGAAATTTTAAATATTAAGTACTTAAGCATATAAATAACACAATACATTAACACGACATTTAAAAAGATTATTAAAAATACAAAAGATATAAAATTTGTTAAGCAAAAACTTAGTGTAACTATTATGATTAAAAAATTCATGCTAAGAAATCAGACACAATATAAATATGGTTCTAAATTAATCTAATTGAAAATTAAATATTTTACTATTTACTTATAACTTTTGTTGAATTTTATACTTAGGTATACGAAAGTAGCAATTTTATATATGAATAGGTTTTTTGTCATATAGACCAAGTTAAAAGAGGTATACATGAAAAATGTGTTGAATGTAACATACCATTCATAACTTGTATATCGATTTAAAATAGACTATATTCTCAAAAGATTTTTGAATGTAATGCTCAAATTTGTTATCACTTATCTAAAAAGGAGATCTATATCGAGAAAGTAAGTTCTCTAATTGTGACCATCTTGTTAATTTACTATATTGTAAAATCCATTTCAAATCATTACTACTTAATCTATTCTTACCTACATTGACGATTACACTAAAATTACTGCTAACTATTACACTACTTATTACACAAATATTATCACACTTGTGTCCCAACTGTTGTTGGGACACAAGTGAATGTTTAATACACAGAAATATACACAGTCACTTGTAATTTTACTTGTCCAGTTTTTTAATGGGATATTATTGTCCATGACTCCTAAAAATGATTCAAATGAATCTATTAAATCATTGTCTAAGAATTCTGTTATCTCTTGTTCCCTCTTCTTATGCAAAAAGTGTCTTCTGTCTTCGGGATTCCTTCTTTCTTTAGTACGATGAACAGTTACATATGATGGTACTTCAGAAAATATATTAGGAACTGCATTGTCTTTTAATTTGGGAAATATTAACTTTTCAATGTGTACATTTCCATCTTTATCTTCTCATTGTTCAGTCCGCTGAATATCATCTTCATGAAAATGTTTGGCACATACTACGGAAGATTTGGTAATTATAGCCTTCTCTATGAATAGAGCATAACCCAGTATACCTTCGTTGGTATATTGGTAATTGGTTTTGCTACCAGATACACAATATATATATATATATATATATATATATATATATATATATATATATATATATATATATTAATACATTTATTTGTAATCCAAATATCAAGTGTCATAGTGTGCATTATCATTTAATAATAGCGTATAATAGATATCAATCAATTATTTTATATGCAAAAGCACTGAAATCTATTTATAAATGTCAACGGTGTTTACATTTCTCTGTCTTATGGTCTACGTCAAACCTCAAATGCATGTTTGTTTACTTTTTACAGTAGATGAGGAAAAGTTGTTTTTCGATATTTTATTATTAAAAGATTAACTTGAATTCAACTATATTTTATTGTATTAATTTTAAAGCAAATAAAATTGTATTTTAATTTTTCTATAAAGACGTGATTTGTTAATAGTTAAACTCTTTTTTTTTTAATTCTTCGAACGTGTTTATACATTATTACTACTTCCAATTTTTAAAGTCTGAATAATTATCCCCGCGAGTAAAAATTCAAGCACGCTTATGCTCATTGAGGAAGCATCACAATCTATCGAAGCTTCAAAACATTGTGTGTTAAAGGTATCTTATTGCTGTGTCCATCTGTGTTTATAGGTCCATGATTTTATGTGTTAAAAAAATTATTGATCTTGAATGAATGTGTGCTACGAATGATTAAGTAAAATAATTACAAGCCTTTTAAAAAATTCGTTTCAAGGAGGTATGTTCACGCCGCAATTGAGGAGCGATCAATCAAAACGCAATAAATCCGCTAAAACTGATTCAGAGTTAAATGCAGAAATCTTACTCGCCGTTGAGTTAAAAAAATTAAATCAGATGACATTTTAAAGAAGATGGGTAGCATATTATTATATATAAATAGGAATATTGAACGCACAATATGTTTCATGATATGTGAAAAAAATTAGTGGATTTATACCGATACGAATGATTTCAAAAACATATGTGTGCTGCAGGTCCCAGAGAGCATTAAATAATAATAAACTTAGCAATATGAGACAATAATATTGTCTCATATTGCTAAAATATCATTATATTATAATGATATTTTAAAAAAGTTACAAAAATAAAAAATATTTCACATTAGATATGTACACCATGGTCGTCTTCCAGGCAGTCACATGGGTTTTGATGTTGTTCTTCGTTATTGCAGCCTTCTGTTGCTA